TCCAAGTGATACATTAAAACATGTTTCAAGGCATATTTGATTTTACCTTTAAAAATACCATATTTTGCCAGGTATGATGGCATATGCTTCCTTCTCGAATATAAAACATTTTGTGTTGAACTTTTAAGCTAGATTTGAAACACGGGTGCATTCAAGAAGAAGTCGTATTTGGAGTCTTCTTTATTTTAAGCTTTTACAAAAAAGAACTAAGAGCAGAATGTCAGCTTATTTTATTCCAGACGACGCAGGATCTCCAAACCATATACATTTTCAGACATAATAAATCACATCAAAGCTGTGAGAAAGGAGAAAGCATTATATACATACTGTTGTCTTCCTCTTAGCTTGGGTAGATGTCTGCTTTAAGACAGGGAGTCTATATAATGCCTGAATGGTCTATTAGCAGTGAACACTGTTTGGATATGTATGTTGCTTTTTTATTTTATAATAGAGCTTTAAGTTCTCACTGCCATTTCAATAAAATGTATAAATACTTTTTTAAAAAAAAATTTAGATTATAATTTCACCATTTCCCCTTCCTTCTTTCAAACCCTCCCACATAACCTCCATCCTATTGTTGTTACATGAGCGTGTGTGTGTGTGTGTGTGTGTGTGTGTCCATCTGTCTGTCTGTCTGTTTGTGACCAACTGCATATGCCTTTGGAGGCCAGAAGAAGATGTCAGATCCCCTTAGCTGGAGTTACAGATGGTTGTGAGCAGCTAGGGACTGAGTTCCGGTCCTCTGGAAGAGCAGGACATACTCTTAATCATGGAGCCGTCTTCCTGGGCCTCATTCAGTTTATTTTCACATGCATTTTCTTAATATTAAAAACAACCATTTTCATGCAGAAGGTTCAAGAAGAGAGGGAGAGAGAAATCTTCAAATTCCAAAGACTTAGGGATCAGCAGCACAGGACACCATAGGACAAACCACACCGTCCGTGTCCCACATCAACACAGTCTGGTCCCCAGGCCCATCCGACTCAATCTCCCCGGTTCCGTTTCAGCTCCTTCTGCCTCTTATCCTCAGTTAATGTTCTGTGCTGGGTCCCAGGAACCTTTCCTCTCCAGGTGCAATGTATCCAGGTGAGCTGGCCCTTTTCTTGTGCCGGCAGCACATTGTGCCCACGTGCCACAGCGTTGGTAGATGCTGGGGTCATTTGTCTGCCTCTCCTCCCTTCATACCCTCTCCCTGTAGCAGCTGAGCCAAGGAACAGACGAATCGGTACTGGAGAGGGCACTTTGCAGGTTCTTGGCTGATTAGGGTTTGTTTCCTTAAGTTGTGTTAAAACATGAAGCTGCTACCAGTACTGAAAAAAAATAGCAAGGATGGGACATAAACAGCACTCTCTGAAAAATGTAATAGATCACCAACTATCCGTAAGCACAGCCAAGAGAAAGATCTCTAGTAAGACTGAAATGTGAATTCTGGGAAAAAAAAACCCACAATATTTAGAAAGGGCTTAACACAGAGGGCTGAAGGGTGGTTTGGAAGCCTATGAAGAATAGTCCTGGGGGAGGGTTAGACTCCGGGACAACAAGCCCTGAGTTCAGGCCTGTGCAGTAGATCAGGAAGCAGCTGCCAGCACCCGAATAGGTGTGCGTGGTGGTGGATCCGAGCCTGGGGCAGCTTCACAGGCAGCCAGGGACAGAAACCCACAGGGACAGTTGGATTTCGTTTCTCTCCATTCTTCAGAAACAGGACCATGAAGTTTTCTTGGCTAACCCTACAGGTACTGTGGAGTTTACAGATAGCATCGGCCCCACCCCGGCTCGCTAGGCTTCTCCATTACACCGAGAAGAAAGGACAGACTTCTGGTTTGGAAGCCTGCTGGGGAGCAGAGGGCCAGGTTCCCAGGGCTCATTGGAAAGAACAGGTGAGAAAGCCGGCGTGTGACCTCATGGTGACCTGTGGTAGCTTACCAGACAGGAATGCTCAGGCCACGGCTGACCCAAATTTCAAAGAATGTGGCCTCAGATGGCCGCTGAAATCAGGCGGAAGTGTCTCCTAGAAAATGTCCCTACAGACTTTAGGCGCTTCCACAAGTTCTGTTCTTATCATTTCCATAAAGCAGTCCAGACAGAAACCAGGACAAGCTGAAACTCAAAGCTGGCCAGCACATTAGAGACGGAAAATTGGACAAAATTGTTAGAATTTCTTTTTCTTTCTTTTACTTCCAAACCAAATTTAATCACTTGATTCTTATTCTGTGAAGAGCCTCAGTTGTTCTGGATTGCTCACACAAAATATCTTTGCTGGATAATGTAGAAACATCGACATCTCTGCTCACAACATTGGGAGTCTGGGAAGTTTGAAGTCAAGACACTGGCAGTAACCGTGTCCGAAGGAGCCTCACCACCCAGAGACTGTGCCCTTTCCACACAGTGAAGTGGAAGACTCTCTCCGGCCTCTTTGGAAGGGCGCTAACCCAGTTCATGGCGGCTGCCGCTGTTTGGTCTGATAACCTTCCCAAGTGCCGTCACCTTGGGGCCTAGTTTCAATGCATCAGTTTGGAGGCCTGAAAATCTGCAGACAATAGCGAGGGCTAACCTGGAGATGGCAGCTTAGTGTTTTTGAAGTAAACCCTTTCTTTGTCTGCAAACCCCGTTCTTGAAATGACATGATTTGGGGGGAAATTTTAGCTGATGAATTGAACTGGGATGTTATTTGAACATCTTTGCCACTTCTTCCCATCCTTCACAGGCTCAGAGTTTAATTCCTTAGCTTTTCTTTTGAATGGAATAGAGTTCTGAATTTATGTTCTCTTGCTTTATAAGCTGAAATTCAAGTCACTCAACAAACAGCCATTGAGGGTCTTTTTTTTGTTTGTTTGTTTGTTCTTCAAGATAGGGTTTCTCTGTGTAGCTTTGAAGCCTGTCCTAAAACTTGCTATATAGACCAGGCTGGCCTCAAACTCACAGAAACTTGCCTACCTCTGCCTCCCAAGTGCTGGGATTAAAGGTGTGCACTGCCACACCTGGCTTTGAGGGTCTCTTCTAAGCACTTTTCAAGGCAATGAGAATTCATAAGGGAACAACACAGGAAAAGTCCCTCTGCTCAATATTTAAAACAATAAAATTCATAACGATAGATGAAAATACCCGAGCTAAACAAACTTCTCCTTTGCAACGATAGGGCTGCTGGCTGCTTGAAACTTCTCTGTGCCGTTCATTACTGTTGGTTTTGCAGTTCTAGAAGATGGCTTCACCGATTTCTACTGCCCTTTCCTCCGATCTCTCTTCTGTCTGTCTTGGTGTCTGCTCTCCCCTTCTCCCCTCACCTGCCTGTCATCAGAAGACATATACCTTCCTATGAGTATTTGGAAGGAAGAATGAAAGGGGCATACGTTATTTTAGTTTCATGTCTAAGTCTAAGCGAAACCATTAGAACTTCAAAGATATTAAAGATTTAGCCAGATTAAATACAAATCTTCATCCAAGGCTGGGTATTTTATCCTGACTCTATTGTTCCTTTTTGTTTGTAACCTTTTCAGGCAGATGTGTCCTTGTCTGTTTGTTCATCCAGCTTAGCTCCGGATCTAGACCTACTCCATTAGAAAGCCCTTTCTTCTTTCCTGGGCAGGAAGTCTGTAGCTGAGCACGTTCCCAGGTTGGCTTTCTAGTTCCAAACGCTCATCCCTGTTGGGTCTGTGTTGCCTTAAGCAGGATCACGGTGCTTCTAGAAATGCAGAGCGCGTTCTTCTCCACCAGCTGTATGATGGAGGATAAGAGCGAGGAGGAATTTTTCGCTGCCTTCCTAGGATTTGCACGCATCATTTTCCACTTGGGATTTCTTCTCCCGGAAGAGACCCCACGCTGAGGAACAGCCATGACGGGGAGGAGTGAAGATCAAAACTGAGTCTCATCCTATTTCTTCAGCAACGTCTGTGAGCCTCCTTGTTATTCTCCTCTGTAACATAGCTAAAATACTGCTCTAAAGCGCTAACTTTAGGTATTTCCTTAAAAGTGCCTGGCACCGGGAATAATTGGAGTGGAGGGCTGTAAGCCCTCACCCAAGAATATAACATCAGCTGAAGTTACAATGTTGGATGAGCAACAAGTACTTTTTAGTTATGCATAAATAGATCACAGATTGTAAAATAACCTATAAAGGCCATATCTATATAAGTGTAAATGCTTTAATCTAAATATTGCGTAGGGACATACTTCTACAAAAAACTGCTTCTTTGTTCATTTGAAATCTGCATTTCAAAAGACATTAGGAGCTGCCTCACTCCACTCCACTCACTGCCCAGGGCCGGGGCTGGGAGGGGGTGGGAGGGAGAGGAGTTGCTGCTGGTGGCTCCAAGTTGCTCCTTTCTTTCTGGTCTCCAAGGTAGGAGAAATCACTCATTTGGAATGAATCCTTCCTCCCACTATTACATGACCATTGGGCCCTGACTGGCGTGGTGCACAAAAGGCTTCCAGAAGAGGTGGGCACAGTCGGTGAGCTGCTCTGGGGTCCAGGCTTCCAGCACCCTCAGCTAAGACAACTTCCTCCCAACTACTTCTGCTCCCAGTGTCCCCACATCAAGCTTTAATTTTCCTTGAAAGCCAAGTAAACCCAACTATCAACGATGGCAGAATCCCTCTTCCCGTGGCTCAAAAATTCTAAGGTCTAAAACCCATAGGTATTACTATTTTTTTTCAATTTACAAAAGTTAAAACAACAAAGTGTAAAATTCCCTATGTTAACCATTTCTTTAGCGTAAAGTTCAGTTGTGTTTCATGTATTGGCCGTGTTGTGCAACCAGTGTCTAGACGGTTTTCGTCTTGCAAAACTGCTGCTCCTCCAGACCTCTTAGGTAAGACTCTATTTCCTGCCTCCCCCATGTGCTGGCAACCATTCCTCTCCTTTGCATCTTTAGGAACTTGGCGACTCTAAGTGCCTTGCATAAGTAGAACCGTAAGATATTACAGCTATTAAAATATTTATATGGAATTTTGATTGAAGTTACATTAAATTTATAGACTTTAAAAGAGCCTCGGTAACTTCAGGAGTCCCTTGAGGTTAGCCCTGAAGATTTCTTGTTGAGTACAACCTAGGTGTTTTATGTTTTTGATAGCTCTTTCCTCCCTACCATGTTGGGGACTAAACTCAGGGTCTTACACTTACTAGGCCAGCATTCTTTGCTCTTTTTCTTTTGAGGTAGGATCTCATGCAAACTAGACTGGCCTGAACCTTCCTGCATAGCTGAGTTTGACCTTGAACTCCTAATCCCTTACCTCAGGCTCCCATGTTCTGGGATTACTACACCAGTCTGCCTAGCTCTCTCCTTCCTCTTATGACTGGAATCTTCTCGTTATATTTCACATTACTTTTGTCAAGGAACAAGAGAAAGAAAATGATATTGTACAGTACTATTGCCATGATGAGAAGACCACCACCCTCTCACACACATATGAACACAGACACATGCAGGTTCAAATACTGTTTCCAAACACACACTCGTGTGTTTCTGTTCTAAGCAGAAGGTAGCTTCCAGACCAAAAAACAAAACAAACAAAAAACAAACAAACAAAAAACAAACAAACAAAAAACCCCAAAGAGCAAAATTAAAAAACAATTAGAATCATTGATACGTGCTTTATTAAATTTGGCACATTTCACGACTAAATTTGCTAGCTCTATATGCAGCTTCTTCGCGTCTGCTGCAGGTGAGAGCCCGCCTATCACAGCCCTTGTAAGAGATTTTGTTAGTTTTGCTGTGTCGGCCACACACATTTCTACCCTTTTGAGAGTTTTGGAATAATTCAAAGAGGCAGAGCAATCAGATTACATTTTCCTCAAAGGCTTGAAAACACAGCCCAAGTTGTGAGTTCGAACCAAGACTCTGGCTGTCTCACTTTTCTAAGAGATGCAGAGCGGAGGTCAGCTTCTCTTAGATGTGAAGGGTAGAAAAGCATCTCAGAGTGGGGAGGAGGCCGGCCCAGTGAGCTCTGGAGTTGGGTTGGAGTCTGATGCTACAGGACGACTTGGCTCTCCTCTGTGAAGATCTCATTTTAGTCTATGAAGTGGGAATAACCATAGACCCTTCACACATGGCTGGGTTGGAGCTGCTCTCAGTGGGTAGGTTTCACCTAGCAAATGCAGGCACCAGGCCTGGGAGGAGCGGGGAAACCGCATACAATGAAGTCATAACCAAACAAGCTGGTTAAAAAAAAAAACTAAATTAATTCTTCGAAAATTTCATGCATTGTATTTTGGACATTTTCATTCCTTTCCCAACTTCTCCTAGATCCACCTCCCATTCTATAACCACCTCGCTTTGTGTCTTCCTCCCTCCATCCACCATCCAGTTTTATGAGTGTAGTCTATGCACTCTCGGGTGTGTGGCCATCCATTGGAGCATGGACGACCTGCTGGGGCCACACGTCTGTCTGTCAGTCTCCCAGAGGCTTCAGAGACTGTCATCGGTAAGCTTGGGCATCTGGTCCATGAAACATCAGTTTGGGAAGATACTTATCTGTGCACTGAGCGCACTAGATGAGACCCTTTGCTTGCAGCCCTGGGCCACAGGAAATCCTCCCCCCACCCCACAGACACAGGGGAAACCTGTGGTCTCTAGTATGGGAAGCAGGAGTGAGGTGGGTACACCTGGGTGACCAGGCACCCAGTTTGACCCTTGAGCACCTAGGGACATCTCTGGGGCCTTGTATGTTAGAGGAAACCGCAGAAATATTAGGGAATTCAGAAGTCTTTTAAAGCAGCCAAGCAAACATACAAGTAACATTCTCCAGACTGAGCAGGTTATATTTAGGAATATAAGCATATAACATACATATTCGTATAAGCGTATTTATGTATACATATTTGTATGTATGTATATATTAACAATTAATGAAAAAGGAGGCCATGAATTTGAAAAAGAGCAAGGAGGATTCTCTGGGAGTGTTTGAAGGAAAGGAAAGGAGGGGAGAAAAGTAATTATATTATAATCTCAAAAAATAATTTAAAAAAGTAGGGAATTTGGGCAAATGTAGAAAAGAATGACTTTTCTATCCACAGGCTTCTTGGTTCTGGAGCACGGGGTCTGAATTTGCTGTGGTGGCGTAAACATCACGCTTTGCGTGGTACAGGTATTTTCTAGGGTGGTGGTTGGGCAGAGCCATGTGGGAAGATTCTGCTTCAAATTTTCTAATTCCATCTGCCAGAAGGAAGACAGTTTCTTGATGCAGTACCTGGGGGTGGGGAGTGGGGTCACTTAACTGCCTGTAGGTCACTCCATTGTGAAAAACCAGCAAAGGATCTAAAACATGCTTTCTCCAGAAAGCAAATTCATAAGCTAGCTTCCATGTAGTATAGTGTCACCCATGGCTCCTGCACCAAGGCCTAGCCCCACTCCCATCTTAGACAATCACTGGTGCAAAGGTCCCAGAGAGCAGACAAAGGTGTCCAGCAAATTTGGCTTTGGGAGATGGGCTTGTTGGTTTTTGTGAACTTGACACAAACCTCGACAGTCTAGGAAGAAGTAATCTTAACTGAGAAAAGCCTCCATAAGATTAACCAGTAGGCACATCTGTAGGACATTTTTTTGATTAATGATTGCTATGGAATGGCCCAGCACTCTGTGACCGTCCCTGGGCGGGTGGTCCTGGCATGTATACGAATGCAGGCTGAATAAGGCATAGGGAGAAATCCAGTAAGCAGCATTCCCTCTTAACTTCTGCTTCAGTTTCTGCCTCCAGGTTCCTGCCCAATTTGAGTGACTGCTTTGGCTTCCTTCTGTGACGGACTGTGAGCTGAGATATGTAGTCAATTAAACCCTTTGTTCCCAGTTGTTTATTTCATGTTTTACTTTTAAAGCTTGTTTCTGCTTTTAAAGATTTGTTTCACTTTTATGGGTATGAATGTTTTATGCTTGTATGTTTGTCAGAACACCATTTTCAGGTCTGGAGTCCACTGAGGTCAGAAGGGGGCACTGGATGTCCTGGAACTGGAATTATGGATGCTTGAAAGCCCCTGACTGGGTGCTGGGAGCTGGACCCTGGTCCTCTGCAAGAACAAGACGTGTTCTTAGGTGCTGAGAACCGGGTTCCTTTGGCTCAGTGTTTTAATCACAGTAAATTAAGACAGAAGACAAGAAAATACACGGTATTCTGTGTTGCACGATTAATAAAAACCCAGAGACAGAAATTGGAGTTCAACCTGAAGGTCAGAAAAGCAAAACAGCCAGCCATTGGCTCTTACCTCTACCTCAGTCTGAAATGGTGTTCCTGCTTCTAGGAGTCTCAGAATGAGACTGTGTCATGAGCTGTCTCCTCACGTTTTATATTCCTCTCTAGGGCTGGGATTAAAGGTGTGCACCCCTGGGATTAAAGGCATTCACTGCCCGATTTCTATGGCAAATTAGCAAGGCTACAGGGATTAAAGGTGTGTGTTACCACTCCGTTGTCTGTATGGCTGATCAGTGTGGCTGTTTTACTCTCTGATCTTCAAGCAAGTTTTATTTATTAAAATACAAATTAAGTATCACCACAATACTGCATGACAGAATCATCTTTAGAGTCTTCTCCAGTCTTGGAGTTTATTCCTCTTAATTTGCATAGTAGTTAGTATCCTGGAATTTTAATCTCTTAGCCGCAAAAAAAGCTAAGCTATGCTAAAGTGCGTACTTTGATGGCTCAACGGCTAAGAGCATTTGCTGTTTTTGAAGAGGACCTGCCACATCTTGAAGTTCACAGCTGCCTATAACTCCAGTTCTAGAAGAAGTTACACCCTCTTCTGACTCCCACAGACACCTGCACATAGTCGAGCACATATACACATGCTCAGGTGTACACGCATGCACACAAAATAATAAACCCTTGAAAATTCTTGAGAATTCAGGGACTTTTATAAAGAATTGAAGGCCTCAGATTATGAAAGAAGTGTCTATATAACTCTCCCTCTCTTTCTCTCTCTCAGTGTGTGTGCATGGGCGTGCGCACATCACTGAAAAAAAAATTATTGAACAATTTTTTTGTTCAGATCAGCCGTTTCTCTAAAGATACTTAAGCACAAGGCACAGGATATACATAAACGTGTGTGTGTGTGTGTGTGTGTGTGTGTGTGTGTGTGTTTATGTGTGTACTCACCACTGTCTCCAGGCTGTGGAAGTCACCACAGCTAGGCAGAAATGAAGGACAGTGGCTGCATTCCCAGTACACTTTATGGTACGCTGGAATGAGAATTCTGGATAATTTTCATGCCATGAGATATTCTTTGTCTCTTTCAGTCATTTATAAAGGGGGTCAAGAGCCATCTGTAGCTTGTAGGCCATGCAACAATCGATGTTGGAGCATGCTTGTGTCTTCCCCGCTTCCCTCCACACTGCTTAGGTGGAATCAGCTGCACTCACAGGTGGAGCACACTGGCAGAAGAACTCGATGCAAATTCAGCAAAGCAGCAGTGAAGCAAGTTGTCCGGAAGTCTCCCACGCCTCGAGCCAAACGGGCCTTCTCCACAGTTCCTCTCAAGTAATGACTTCAGCAGAAATGACACATGCCTAAACCACTGTGCAGTCAGTTAGTGGTCCAAGAGAAGAAACAAAACCAAAAAACAAACTAACAAACAAATTCAAACCAGCAGTTTGAATTTTGGTTTTGTTTTGTGGTGTTGGGGACCAAGCCCTAAGTCTTACATGGCTACCCCTGAGCTCTACCAGCCCTTGGTAACCCTGTGTCCAGATGAAATCATATTCACTAGCGAGCTAGCGGCTAGACAACATTTCTTTCCCTTTAGAAAGATGATAATCACCTTGTGCTTAGTCCTGAGGTTTTAAGAACTAGTTGTAAATAAAACATGTTTACCAAGAGGCCTAGGAGTTATCAGAAGAATTCCTGGCATAGAGAACATCTTAGAAATATTTGAAGAAAGTGAGTAACCTTTTAACCTTCTCGAATGAAAATTGTCTTATCTCTCATCTCTGTACTTTGAGTGGTAGTTGTACTTTTAAGTCACTCTATTTAAAAAAAAAATCAAAAAATAAGAGAACAGAACTTCCTGTGCCTTCATGGCCAGGAAGTGCACTTTGAGTGGCAGGAAGCATCACACAGTCTTCCGGGTTGTCATTTCCAATCACTGAGGATGCAGGAGAATCTGGAACCTGGAACCTGCTAACGGGGCTGAGTACTTTCCCCTGGGGACAGTTCTGGAAGTGGTCCAACCCTCAGGCGGAAAGGTATCAGGGCTTAAGGACACAGGGGCTGAAGGCCTCTGCCTGAAGCTTCAGTTCTGCTACAAACACTTAGGCATTTGGACGAATTAAACCACAGGGCCCTCAGGAGTAAAAGGAGACTGGAAATTATCTGTCGCCAACCTTGCTAAACGAAGGGAGAGCTCATCGGAATTGAGACATTACTACAGTTGGATGTACTGCCTCTGTCTGATGCTTGTTCAAGGCAGCACAGCGTGGGATTTCTTGAGTTTATAGTGAAATAAATATGCCCAACTATATGGAATGTACACAGACTGGAAGAGCTGCCTTCTGGAAGAAAGCGAGGAACATAAAGACATTGAAATGCAACAGTAACAGTAATTGCTGGTGAGGGGAAAGATAGAGAATGGGAACTAAGACCCGGCAGTTCCCATGAGAAGCCGGCACCGACGCTTGCCGCAGACCTCTTCTGGATTTCATGGTTAGAATCCAGAATCTGAAGCCATCCCTAATCCTTAGAATCTGAAGCTATCCCTAATCCTTAGAGTCTGAAGCCATCTTTAATGCTTAAGGGGTCAGTTTTCCCCGTGGGAGAACTTTTAAAGGGAAAAGATTGATTTAGAAACATAATCTTGAAGATTTCAGTCCCTGACCAGTTGGTCTTGTGGTTTGGGGTCCCTGTCTTCCCAGTACTCAGAAGCTCATGGTGAACAAAATGGGTCCTCTCATGGCTGAGATGCTAACGAACACGTGGAGGTGAGGGGCTCACACCCTCAGTGAGCTGAAGTCCGCCAGGCCCCACTCTCTAAAGCTGTACAGACTCCCAGCGTGCCACAGGCTGAAGGACGGGTTCCAGTGGCTCTTTCCAGCTTCCGGTGTCCGATATCTAGCTCTGTTTGGATGGAATCAAGTTTCAGAGAAGACCCAGGTAAAGGGAGGCGATTTGAGTTACTCTTAGTCTGTGTCCCCTCCTAAATACAGAGCAGAGTAAGAAGAAAGACTGTGGGAAAGAATCTGTCATAAGTTCCTGCTGCATGAAAGCACTCAGGTGCAGCACACCATGACAGCCTCCTAAGTGTTGCGGTCACTGCCCATGATCTGCGGGGAGCGACGTCAGGCCTGCACTCAGGGTCCTTACAGTGATGGTGGAATTCAGATTATTTTGAGGTGCTCAGGCTGGAGTAGAACTTGCCTACCAACTGCATTTATTTTTCTGGCAGCTTTGTGGTGAGCTTTTCAAAAGCAGCGTTTGGCTCCCTTGTCTCCTGGAGCCTCTTAATATTGGGCTACGTTGAGTAGGGACCTGCCAGGAGTACTGATCCCACCTGTACTCTCAGCCCTAAGGAGATCGTGACCACTGCAAGCCTGAGGCCAGCTCAAGCTGCAGAATGACACCCTGGGGGGAAAGAGGAACAAAGACCCGCAGACCAGGAAATGAAAGGCGAGGTAAGAGTGAAGAGTTTGGTCTTGTGACTTCTCAGGCTGTGAAAGTGATAAGCCTTACCACCAGAGGAGGGACAGCTCAGACTGAACATGGCGAGATGATATTAGTCAGAGAGACCACGGTGCCTTTTCTGAAAAGACCAGTCTGTCTGGTGACTCGAAGCCCCCAAATGTGACTCTGTCTTCCGTGTAAATGTTTGTGGTTTCTTCCATTTTTACAGGTTTGTCTGTTTTTCATAAATTAGTAAAAACCAGAGAGATATGTGATGCTTCAAAAAATTTATAATTCAGACCTCTTTGTCTAGAAAAAAAATGTTAATTCCACCGGTGATTTTGTAACTACAAAGTTAAATCTCCTGTTCCTGATAGAGAGTGAAAGTCACTCTGACATTTTATGACTAGAAAATATTTTTATAATAAACTAAAAAGTATAAATGGCAATGGTTTCAATTATTTCTCAAACTTTCATTTCTAGTGAAAAGAAAAAAAATGAAATCTTATGTTTTCTTCTTAATTTTGTTGGTTTTGAAATGGCTGGGAAGAGTGCTTTATAAGTTTGACAGGAAGCTTTGCTCTCCAAAGTGGGAACGTTCCGTTACAGTGAGTTAGTCATTCTCTTGTAGAGGCTTATGGAATTTATTTTTTCATTTTTTATCAAAACTTTAATTTTACCACTTTACCTCATCATTGTCTTCCCTCCAACTCTTCCCACGATCCCTCTCATTCCCAGCAGACCGATGGCCTCTTTTTATTATTATTGCATATATAAGCATAAGTGTATAAACGGGACCCACTAAGTCCATGTGGCTTGGGTGTATATGATTCCATGACTCACTCACTTTGGATAACTCCATTTAGGGAGCTCTTCCCAGGGAGAGGCTACTTCTCCCTCTCTCCAGTCATTGGTGAAGCACTGTGAGATAGCCCCCTCTGGCTAGCATGTATATTGATATCACCACTCTTCAGGTCTTGTCTGTGCAGCCATATTGTTGAGGTATCATCTGTGAAGCTTCCATGACATCTCTAGGAGGCACAATCTCACCACAGACTTCCTGGACCTAATGATGTCCAGGGACTAAGCCCTATGGAGATCAGCCCTGTGCACGGCAGCAACCACAGCCGTGAGCCGGCCACCCTGGGATACCAAGCTTTTGATCCATGTTTGCACTGCAGCTTTGCCCTGGTGCCGGAGTGGCCCATACTCACACCAGACAAAAAGCAAATTGGAGCATGGCAACCTGGGGAAGAGGCAATGGTGCCTTTGCCTCTTCTTTCTTCTTTGCTCCATACAGGATAAAGAGAGAATGGACTTTAGTTTGGTTCTCCGAGATGGCTTTTAAACACCGTGTTTCAACCCAATGAAAGCACAGGAATGAAAAGAATTACCTTCAATGCCAAAATTACATATCTTTAAAGAAATGGATTCAAGTCAGTCATTAAGAAAAGTCTAAGTTCATAGGATATCTCCACGGTATTAACAGGATGGCTTTCCCCTGTTGGCTACACTTCCACATTTAAGTCTTTGTAAAAGAAAAATACTGGAAAAATCCAGAATCACTGACTAAATTGTAAAA